CTGATCTTTAAGAGAGTTCAGAGCTGTTGTTCGATTTCCAGGAACCCTTGATTTTTCCGAGAAGGTTACACTGAGGCTAAAGTTACCTCGGCTTATTAGTATAACCAGTTATTTAGAAACCTGACAGCTCCTTTAGACATTATTTCTGCTGACATGCCTCAGCTGATTTCATGTTTAATAAATCCCATGCATGAAGACTCAAAAAGTCATCCCGAGAGTGACGCGAGTACAATTTGTATCCACGTACCGTAATATTATTTTGTAAATTAAGCTGCCTTTCTCCAGCTCTAGTGTGCACGCTAGGTTGTAGATTAAAGCGTGTTTATCTCTTAATGCAAGATCTGGACTTTGTTCAACTCTGACTTGGTCTTCCAGTAGCTAATTACTGTTTGGATGAAGATCATTTGGATCAAGGTGCTACTCAGTATTTATATTTTTAATAGGACTTTCTCCAACCGGAGTCTCCCGGGAGGAGCAGGTGCCTCGCAGGGTGGTAACGGAGACGCAAAAGCTGTCCTTCGCTGGGCATTGCTTTGATTCCAGCATCAGTCAATAGTGATTGAAAAGCATTAAACAAAATTAAGCGGCTGTTTCATGTGGGTACCCAGGGCGAATTAAACAAGCTCTGTGCTTGTTTCTGAATCTCCAAGAAACACCTGCACCCTCGTCCTCTTGCTGGTGGCTTTAGGCAAGTCCTGACCTGGGTGAGAGCTGATCCTTCTCGCGCTGGCTGGAGGCAGGTTAGCCAGAGCACAGCAGAAGGAAAATTCACCCTCTACTTCGCATAACTGGCTCCCAGCATCATGTCAATCGGCTGCCTAATCCCACCGCTGAATTGATTTAAATAATAACAGGGGTTTAATGGATTTCACTTTTGTTCCACATCTGGGTATGACTATTAAGTCATGAAAGTTTTAAAAGCTTACAAATTAGCTGAAGTGACAAACGAGTACGGCCGGGTGCCCTGCAGGAGATGCTGGCGTCTGAAACCTGCGTAGCTGCCGAAGGGGCTTCGCTCCACCAGCACGGGCTCGGCTGAGCCCGACCTCCTGCTCGTCCCTGAACTGATCACACGGACACAGAGATGAGACAGGAGAGGGGCTCTGTCTTCTGAAACAGATACTTGAATTGCCAAACACACACAGATCGGGAGGTTCTTATAGGCTGCTGAGAGTAGGAAGGTAAAAGACTTTTTTTTTAATGTCAGATTGAAATTCAAGTTTTAAACCCTCACTCCTGTGAGCAGCAGGAGTCTTTCAACGCTGAATTCAGCCCCTTCCCCAGGAAAGGCTGCTCCTAGCAAAAACGAACTGAAAAGACGAGTTTGCTCGATGAGCTGGTAAGCAGATGCCCGAGAGCAGAATGCTCTCTCTTCTGCAGCGTTTCTCTCCAGCACGCCTCGAGGAGTGCGCTGCTTGGGTACTCCGGAGCTGGGATTTCTCCTGGAATAATCCAGGACGGCTGTGGTAGGAAGCCATTCTGGGGGAGCCCCTCAAAGTCGTTACAAATAAAATCAAACGTGCTCAGTGACTTCTTACACAGGCAATGTTCCCCTCAGCCCAGGGTTTCTACTGCAAGGCAGGAGCGCGATACTTTTTCAGAGGGTAAGTATCACGCAGCAAACGTCACCTGTGTTGTGCTTTAAGAACGGGAGAAAAAAGCAAAAAAGCGTGAAAATAGAAAAAAGAAAACTCACAATGGGTTTCATTAGAGATCTCTATTACCAAACAGCTCAGGATTCATTTTCTTGTCTATTTTCACCCTCCTCTAGGGATGAACGATGATTAAAGGAAAGGATAATAAGAAGGGGGGAATGAGAACTTGCTGAGAAGCGGTTTAAAAAAAAAAAAAAAAAAGAGAGAGGGGGCAAGGAAAAGAAGTGTTTTAGTTAGCTAGTCAAGGCTGGCTTGGCACTGTATCTGCTTTAACTGACATTACGAAAAACTACAGATGGCACAAAAGCAACCTCACTAATGCTGAACCCTACAAAATTGATCCTGACAACTTATTGAGCTTATCTTTCTTCAAGGAGCTTTTAATCTCCCCGTGATGTCTTTCACGTTCTTTATTTTGAAAAAAATTCCTATACAAAGGTAGCAACTTGCAAATCAGCATGTTCATCTTCTGTCATTGCCTATTGTGGGTAAGGTAAGAAAGAAAAACCCTTTTGGAGAAAGAAGGGGTTTGAGATGTAAGCGCTCTGGTTTTGGTGCTTACTTGAGTGATTTTTGCAAGGAAGACACGGTTTGAAGAGGGGCAGATTTTTGCGTGCAAGGATGGCAGTGGGTTTCCCTGCAGACACACAGCCAGCTGCCCCAAACGCCGCCGTCGTGGGGTGCCCACTCCGGGGCTCGGCGGGTCCGAAGAGCCCGAGCCAGTTGTTCCTCTGCTGTCCCCTCGCCTCATCTCCGTCAGGACGCGGGTCCCTGGGCGGCTGCACCCCCGGGAACCCGGGCTGTGGGTTCTCCTCCCCATTCCCTCCCTGCCTACGCGCAGGGATAACGAAGCCCTTCGCTTGTGTTACCACAGAGTCATTTAGGTTGGAAAAGAGCTTTAAGATCATCAAGTCCAACCATTAACCCAGCACTGCCAAGTTCCCCACTAACCCACGTCCCTAAGCACCACATCTCCCCAGCTTTTAAACACCCCCAGGGATGGGGACTCAGCCCCTGCCCTGGGCAGCCTGGGCCAGTGCTTGATAACCCTCTCAGTGAAAAAATATTTCCTAATACCCAACCCAACCCTGCCCTGGCGCAGCTTGAGGCCGTTCCCTCTCGTCCCATCGCTTGTTCCTGGGGAGAAGAGACCGACCCCCCCGGCTCCAGCCTCCTTTCAGGCAGTTGCCGAGAGCGATGAGGGCTCCCCTCAGCC